TCATTTAACATTTCTCGTAGAGAAGAACCTGTGGCTGCAAGTGTCCTCTCTCACACATAGAAAGTACATCATTCCAGCTACCGATCACCTGAAGATATTACATAAAACGGATGATAATTACTGAAGAATGCATCTGCCTGCAAACAACTCTAAGTGTATTTCAAAAGTCTTACCTTAACGGTTTTGTCATCGTACATGATCCATCGGTCGTGTTCATGACTATATGCAAAGCAATGATAATGCTGTCCATAATAGCAAACCTGGAATTCCAGAAATAGCAAAAGAACAACGTTAGGTTATGAAAGCAGAGTATGCGAAAGGCGAGGAGGTTTTTAGGGTGAAAACAAACAAGGAAAACACAAAGTACAGTCGATTTCAGGTTTGAAACCATTCTTATGGTAATGTCACATGGAAGAAGAAGAAATGCATACCACGGAAACTAAGCTATATATGCTCTTAGGGTCCAAGCCACGGTATATAATGCTGATGTCTATCTCGGTGTTCAAGGCTGCAAGAGTAGCTGCTATGTCTTCTCCAGTCTCACATGTGTTTTGCCACCCTAAAACTGCCAGCCACAATATAATTAGAGTTTTAATAGTACACAGATATCAGTGTCTCTGAAAAAGGTTTGCATTCATCAGAATCCTAAAAAAAAAGTTTTACCTATAGTAAAAACATGTGGAGGAGTGGTGAGAATATGGTGGATATGGTTGGGTTTCCCACACCCACCAGCTTCGGGATCACAGGCAAGTTGATGGTTCATCTCGACAAGATTTAGAAGTTCGTCAAAAGAATTCTCAACGCATGTAACCTATTAGGCATAAAGTGGGGAAAAACCACAGTGAATTATCCGATAAATTATCTGAAACTCAAGTATAATGAACATTCATATGATACCTTCATGGTCCGTAGGGCATTAGCATTGACGTTATGGAAAAAAGAAGTGTACTTCATATGCCTGGACTCCAGCCCACAGCTGTAGCAATTCAGTTGCTCAAAAATATCCATTCCAAACAGAGAATGGGCAATACATGTGCGGTTAGCACAGTCCCACGAACCCGTACAGTTGCTCTCAGAAGATTCTGTCTCAGACACGCTTGAGCTTTGAGCAAATGAGCGATGAAGGCAGTCAAAGATCACAGCCAGTACTTCTGAAGCATCGTTCATCTGAGCCTGCCACCATATGAACCCAAGTTTAGGCTCCTCGATGGAAACAAAAGCATGCACTGTATTAGGGTAAACATTTAAAACCGGAGAAGAATCCCTTTACCTCTTGAAAAAAACTGCTATCAGGATACAAGTTACTCAAAGCAATCCTGAGAGATGAAGGAGCCACAGGTTCTTTGCGTGTTTCACTCGAAGCAGCGGTCAAAGCAGTAAAAATTTCATACAATGAACAGACAACACAAGGATCTCCCACGTGATGATGCTCTAGTGTTGATCTCTGCAAGAAGAACTCAGCCCGAAACATCCCCAGATTCCATAGAGACTGAGGCCAAAACAAAACAAAATATAGCATTCAGCATATAGAAGTGTGGAAAGCGGGATACTATAGACACTGATATCCGAGAAATTAAACAGTATATGAGACTGAATGTTACCTGTATGATAACATTTAAAAAGCAATTGTATTCGCCAACTTCATTCTGAAGACCTGTGCCAAATATGGCAACTCCGGTCGAACTCAGAGATTCCTCTGTAACATCAGATAAAACCCCATCTTTGTTTACTTCCAGAGGTGTCCTAAGATATGGCTGCATATTTTTTCTTCTTTGGTATACATCTGGGTTCAAACAAAATGTTCCGGCGTTAGATGCTTTTGTCATGCCAAAATGATCACAGAACAATGTGATGGAAAAAAGGTAGCAGCTAATGGCATAAGTAAAATATGAGGAATAATAGTCTAAGACATCTAAAAGAAATATGCCTGCAAGAACCAGATAAAAGAATGTGTCCTGAGATGGAGAGAAGTGGTACATACAATAAACCAATCTTCATGACATTTGCAGTCAGACAATAGTCACAAGAGGGAACTCAGCAAACAATTGAAAAATTAAACAGGGATGTTTAAAAAACTACCAAGGCTTTGACGCACTGCCTTTTTAAGGTCAGCTTGAAACCTTTCTTCTTCATCCTCTTCAGCTTGTAATTGTCTTAGTGTCTTTGTTCCCGCACCTTCATCACCAAGATAAAATATTGAATGCAAGATGAACGATGTTAGAAATCAATGTAGATAGTGTCATTCCTCGTTGACAGAAAAGCAAACATCAAGATACACTAGTTGCAGAGGCATCAGTTTTAACAAATCTAACTGAGAACTATAAGTACCAACACATAGAGAAGTTTCAATAGTGCCTTAATTGGTCTACTCCCAAGTGCGTTTGATATTCAAGTTCAAAAAACCAGTCAGGTCAGGAAATCAATCCAGATCCATTAGACATTAGACAGAGAGGGTTCTAGGATAAAAATGACCAAAAAACGACTTACCACCATTGCTAAGTAGAGTTTCAGATTGTCTCTCATTGTTGGTGCCTGACTTCTGAGATTCACTGTTTTTGCTCTCAGAAGGTGTGGCCTGATATTCTCCATCAACTAACTTGTTAGAAGCTTTTTGGCGTCTACCCCTCCTCCCAGTGCGTTGATCAGAATGGAAAACACCAGCTTGAGTAGCTACCCCATTAGCCACTACTGCAACACACACACACAATATATAAGTGTCTTGGAAAGGTCTATAGTGACAGATATTCAAATTCGAAGACCAGTGGTAACCTTTTTGGGATTTTACATCCTGCACTGTTGCAGCATCAGATATTGTACAATGATTTGTTGATGGAAAAACACCATTCGTATTCACTTGGCTTCCTTCCAGGTCATCAGGTAGTCCATTCTTTTGAATCCACTTCTGGTAAAGCAAATAAACCCAAAAACTAATTTGAATAGATGATTCAAAAACCACAACTCCACAACTTGTCACTCTATGGTTACCTGACTTATGGATAAATATTGTTCTTGTAAATCTAAATTATACACTGCCTCTGCAACAACATTATCTGTGCAATACACTGCCTCTGCAACATTCATTGGAACTAAAGAGCTGTATTTCTTTCGTTGTTCTGCAATGAGTTTTTCCTTGGCTTCATTCTCAATCCTTCTTTGATACTCAAGAGTTTTTTCAAGCTTCCTCTCCTCATCCTCTAGCTCTATTTGCCGGCTATATTCCTCTTCCTGTTCTTTTAAAACTTCAGAAACAATCTCAGCCTCTGAATGATCACCATAAGATGCAAATGAAGGGAGGCTGGAACAAGAAATCATCAGGTATATCAAAGACAGATTATTAACCACAAAACTTTCAGAGCAAAAGATTTTCCAGGTTACCACCATGTCAGCTAAATTTTTTGTACAGAGTAGATCTTCACCTGTGTTCAGTTGAATCAACATTGATGCGATGGTCGTTTCCATTAGTAGCCTATAACAAAATATTGAAGCTGATTACAATTACAGACAAAGAAATAACTAAAAAGTAGACAGCAGATTAGTTCTAACCTTCAAATCCTTCAGTTTTTTGGTCACCTTAATCTTTTTCTTATCCTTGGACTTTTCCTGCGCGTGTCTCGAATTAGCATTTCTTCTTGGAGCCTCCTTCTTAGAATCAAGAGCGAGCTCAACGAGAAATGCTTCTCTTGCAGCATCAGACTTCTCAGTGGCATCTTTCTCTGCCAATGCCTCCAAATGTGCCTG